ACAAGTCGAGTAGGTTGATGGTTACACACTTACTCGACAAGCATCAACTAGGCGAGGATCTAATTAGAAGGGGATGGTCACCTCGACTTCTAATTGGATCTCTAGGTCTTCCAATCAAGGTAAGAAGCATTCACATACATCTAAACCCGGGCGTGTACGGCGCATGGCTGGTCAACCCACTCTTACATGTTATTTGAAAACAAAACACACAATTTAATTTTTTTTTCATGATAAAACAAAAGGGAAACACTTTATGAATGAAAAATAGTGATAATAGAATATGTAATCGAGTCTAACAAGTTGAAAGATCGACTCTAACTAGTTGAAGAAAAGTAAAAATAGGAGAAATACTGTAAAAATAGAGATCAAATGGGCTAAGAACAGGGCGAGGCATGCCAGGTCGGAAGTAGATACCCATGTCCCACCCAATGCCACTGCGGATCGGTTAATACCAGGCCCATCGTGGGTCAGATCGGGTAATACCCACGAGGCGAGTTCGAATTTCATCACTAACTATCACTTAGGTTAAGAACAAATCAATCACAATTAAACAAGATTCTTTTGCACAAACATCAATATACAAAAAATAGGTTCATATTCATGCTTACATATGACTCATACACAAACTATAAGTTAGGGTCCATCTTCCCTAAACAACCTTAGGGATTCAAGCCTTACAGAGAGAAAGAATATACAAACTAATAAGGGAAGTGCTGAAAATCATCTTCTTCTCCTTGGCTTGCATCTTCCTCCTTGATCCATGGGTGGATTGGACCTTTCCCAAACACTTTATTTTTTTTGGAGAAACAATCCCAAGCTTTCTCAAGGTTTTTCCCTCTCTAAAAACTATCCAAAATCCTAATTTTCTCACTCTAGGTTGGCTATCAATTATCTACCCTTGCCAATGAACAATGGATTGGTCTCGTGGAACCAATAGCAGCTTTGAACTTGGAGGTCTTAGTTTCGAATCCTTAAGTAGTACCTAATCATAAAAAACTAAAACATATGTCAGTAGAGAGTTGCGTCAGCTATAGATATAGACTAGGCTAAGGGATCTCTTGGGTCAAGGAGAATTGAGTCTGGTCATGTTAACGTATGTGTCTTTGCGCAATAGAAAAGTGAGCGCTAATGACATTCTTTTTCATCGATACCAGTTTGGTATGTTTTCGTAGAAGATAAAAAAGAGTGCATTTACTTTTGAAAGCAAGAGGAAGGGGGGGGGGGGGGGTTGCCATTTTTTATCCCTCAATAATATATAGTACACTTTTGTGTACTTTTATTCATTTCAAATTTCCTGCAACGAGAATGAAAGTAGGAAGGTCATTTTTGTCTTTACAATTAATTATTTATCTCACATAAAAAATATCAACATCAAGATTTGAACCCGGGTCTCTTCAAACAAAGACAACAATCACAACCATTTACATTGAACAAATTTTTTGTTTCTTTTTTAATAAAAAATATACACGAAATTCAACTCTCTGAAAATCGGAGAACTTTCCATCATGATTAGCAAGTCCTCTAAGTATACCGTATATATTTTTATGGTGTTTGATACTTCAATTTTCATTGTAGAGTTTCATGTTCTTTCTCAATTTTAAAATTCTTTCTCTCCTTAATTTTTGCTATAGGTAAATTGGTAATTGGCTAACATGGAAAAAAACTAATTTTGTCACTACATGTTGTGTCCTTGCATTTTTCAATTTAAATTTTGTGGTTTTTATCTTTGTTCTTATCTCTTTCTAACTTCCTCGAAAATTCCCTCCATCGTACGATAGTTTGCACCCCTTTCACTTCCCAGTACAAGACCGTCTTTGAAAATCAATCATCTGATATCTCTTGGCACGTCGGAATTTAAGTTGGCCATGTAAAAGAGTTTAATAAATAATGGAGTTGCAGAAGGAGGATTAGAAATTGAATTTTTGGTTGAAACATATGTCTTTTGAGATAAAAATTTGGTTATACAATGAAGAGTGGTGGCTATTGGATCTTTATATTTATGGTTTTTACATCTATCACAACCTATTTCTATCTTAAAACGAGGAATCATTGATTGATTTATTGAAGTAGGTCGATTCTTAATTCAACCTAGTGGAACTGATTAATAAGGAGTGTCTAATTTTGTGGGTTATTACTTTGATTGAGTCTATTAGTATATTGGAGAGAACCCTAATTTTGTCGTTTGCTCTCAAGTTTTGATGGTCCCCTCTTAGCTGAGTTGTTAGTATATTGTTGACTTGAATCAACAACTCTCCATTTTTTTTATTAGTAGCATATTGTTCATAAAAGGAGCGCATTAAACCTTTATGTAGGATTGTGAGGTTTAATATTTAGTTTCAAACTATCTATGGTTCGTGTGGAATTTCACTGAGCTTTTATACCCTCTTTCTTGACAATCAACTAACCAATAACATTTAAATGACGGCTTAATTATCATTATGAAAATGGAACTAATGATACATTTTTTATTCTTAAATGATGATGGTATTTCTCCGAATGTTAGATCTACATATTCTTTCTTTATGTATCATCTCGATCGAAGAATTGTGAATAAAATTAAATTGTTTGATTAGCTTAAACGTAATATAAAATATAAATAATCAAATATGAATATTCCGGCCAATGGGTCGGGTTATAAGCTAGTAAAAAAATATGGTAAATTAGAAAAATCAATGTGATAAAGGATTTTTTTTTTATAATGATAAAGGAACTTCTTGAAGCATCCTTAGATAAAAAAAAAAAAATAATACCTACCCTTACCAATAACTGTGTGGGCGTAGACACGTCCAGTATGCCATGGCCTGGAGACTCGGCCAAAGCCCAAAGCCCAATACACAAGAACTCATAACTCACACTCTGAACCCATCGAGAAACACTCTGAAGTCTGAACCCATCGAGAAACTGGCCCAGTGATAATAGTGATGGTATCGTTCTTTGTTTTTAACGAAGGATAATGAGTCTGTTTGTCTCTCTGTTCGGACCATTATACTCGACACTGGTTTTGTTGGTATCTTAATTAATTACTTACTGTAGTTGGGTCTCTTTTAGGTTGTCGACTTGCAGATATGTTGCCAAAAGGTTGGTGGGTAGGGAAGTGGTGGGTTTCTTACTTGCTTACTGTCTGGCTGTTTTGGTGTTGGCATGTGGTGATGGATGGTGCAGTAGTGGCAGTCGAATGTGGATGGCAAGCTTTCGTTGCTCATAAAAATATGATCTGCTACAATGGTGTTGGAGTGGGATAATATCAGGTGATTAAGAGGGTGTCTTAATTAGATGATCAAGTCAATATCAGTTATTCATTTAAGTTTTAGTTTAGTGGTTGTAATTAATTTCATTTAATAAATGGTACACAATTTATTTATTTAACAATTACAATAAAACAAAAACGGTGGATCGAACTCGTTGTCCCTTCTGTCGGCCGGTCATTTCTGGGCAATTCTCCTAGCGGCGTAGGGTTTTCCCATCTATTTTCTTGGGAATTCTCTATGAGAGATAGAGATAGAGATAGATAGAGAGAGAGAGAGAGAGAGAGAGAGAGAGAGAGAGAATTCTCCGACTCTGGCGAGAAATATCCGGTGACGGTGGAGAGGATTTTCAAATGGAAAAATTTACGGCGACAGCGACAGCTTTGTGATGTTTATCGGTCTATTCTATAATGCTTGTAAGTCTGGTTATCAATTCGGTTTATAATTTTATAATTCTAGTTTTTCATTTTTGTCTATTGTGTTAGTAATGTTTATATGACTAATTAGTATATATGTTTGATCGATTCAATCCGTGCAAGTCATTGTCAATAGTTAGCATGTTTCAATAACTACTCCATCCTAGGCCAAGTTTAACCTAGAGTGGCGTTGTCATATAGTCACAATCAATGTCATATTCAAGCGGGTTCCAGTACCCTAGTCTACTTCCCACATTATTGTTATTTAGCTTATCAGTTTAAGGGTTTGTGTTGGAGGATTCATGCGAAATAAACTAGTATATAGATTAAATAAGGATAAATGCAGGTACTTTGGGGAACTATCCCTCACCCTAGCCTATGTCTACTATGCAATGTCTAGATAAGTAGGGTTTCTCGAATGTGGCGAGTATGCCTCTCCTAAACTCATGTCATCACCTCGATCTAGGCTATCGTATCTGGGGCATTGAGAACATAACTCATTTCATTGGGTACTACCCACAGTCCACACTGAGGTTATATCCTGGGTTCTATCTAGGAAGGTATTTGGCAGGGGTATGGTCGCCTCGTTGACTCGCCTCTACTGTCACCCCAGGAATTGGCCAAGTGTAACCACTTCCTAAAGCGTAGTATAGCGGGTTTAGGTTTAATTATCAACCCGGGTCCTAGATTTGCTGACTACTCAGTGAGTTCTTGTTATCTAGCAATAAAACTGGAGTGCAAGTCTAAACTACCAAACAAACAAAGCAAGTAAACTGGTTGTATTCAGGTTAAGAGAGGTCACCCGGATATGGTTCCCCCTAGACTGCAGTTAAGCCGGATTGTAATTACCAAGTTCAGTTTCTATGACAGTTATACTGCGGAAGGTTCTTAAACAGTCTGAAGTCTCGACTAAAGGTCTTCAGACCCTCTCAATCTGACTCTCTAGCGGGCGACTAACCTCCACCGGAGTCGACAGATTGAGGCCCTAAGAACAAAACCTCCACTACCGGAGTAAATCCGGTACAGAATAGTGAGTTGGCTCCTCGACTAAAGTCACCAACTCCCTACCTTCAATCAAGGATACTCTATTAACCTAGGCAGATATTCTCATTCTAGGTTAAAGCAGAAACAACAGGAATTTGATCAGGATTCAAGTCATTCAATCATTAAAACCTCAATCGAATATAATCAATCACAGAATCAGTACTTGGGTTCATACAATCAAAGCCTAACATACAAATCTAGGGTTCTCCATACCCAGATGAATGGGAGAACTACTCCATGGAGAAGAAAGCAAAAGCAGAATCAGACACGGAATTCATACTGCAAAGGATGGATTCCTGCTTCTGGACGTTGATTGGCACTTCTCCAAGCTCAAGCTGGCCTCCAATGGTGTTGAAGATCAATCTAGGGCACTTGGGAACTCTTGCTCGTCACTTTCTCTCTCTAGGAACTGATCTCTCTCTCAAAAACTCGAATCCCCCCGAATTGTGGCTGAAATTCTGCTTAAAAGGAGAAAATCCCGACTCGCACGGCCAGGGTGCACGGCCGTGCACATCACCATTCTGGCCGTGCACCTCAAAACGCGGCGTATCAATTAGTTGAACCTCAGCCAACTCGCACGGCCAGAATTGTATGTTGCACGGCCGTGCGTGGCCACGCACAATCCCGTGCGTGCCCACGCACAATCCCGCACGGCCAAACTGGTCACTTGCACGGCCGTGCGTGGCCACGCTGGTCTGCCCGTGCAGCTTGCTCAGCCTCTGTTTAATGCTTCGTTTCTCCCTCGTCCGGACTCCGAATCAATCGCCGTTTGATCCCAGAAGCTCGTAGTCTCGTCCTCTTTCGTTTCATAACAAGCTTGCATGATTCTTTGTCCATAAAGTGAGGTAGAAATCCATTCTTCTTCAGGTCATGCCCGAGTTTCTTCTCTCGAATCGTCAATTGATCTCTGATTGACTTGAAACTTGCGCCTATGCTTCACTTTATGTGCTAGGACCTGAAATGGGACAAAGGAACACAACCTAGCATAAAATAGGCCAAAGACGCAATAATTCAAGCTCAAACAATCAAGAAACAAAGGGGAAAACATGTGCAAATACCGAGTCATCAAATCCCCCCACACTTAACCGTTTGCTTGTCCCCAAGCAAACCTAACTCAAACCAATGCAACTCTCCAGACCTCTATAGCAACAAACAACCTAGATCGTAGGTAGAGGACTTCCTAGATCATTTAGCAGCTTACGAGGTCAACCGACGCACAAGTCATCTCATAGCTTCTTCGGTCAGTCGGCATCATGGCAAACAGTGAACAGAGGACAAATGAATTGTGGATGAAGAGATTCTCAAAAACAAAAGATCATGGACTCACATTTTTCAAAGTGCTCGATTTTCTTTGAAGATGGTTGGAACCCCTTTTTTCTGTTTTGCTCGTTTTCTGTTATTTTTCTTTTCTTTTTTTCTTTTCAAGGGTCCCAACCTGCTCTTACCGGCCATGCCAGGAGCGAATGTCTCGAGCCTCGTGCGGGGGAAAGACATGTAAGGGGGCTGGAGGTAGTAGGTGGAAATTGGGAACGGATTCCCGTCTCCCCTTACACACTTTCGCCCTATTCGCACGGGAGACGTTTATTTTGAAGCACATTATCGAGCACCTGTTATTTTCAAAACATGACACAAGAGTCCATGACAGGCAGAGAATCCACAACACCACACAATTCAAAGGGTCCTAAGATCACTAATTCACTCAATCAACCAACACAATATGAAGAAGAAATGAGACTCCTTAAATGCATCAACATCCTCCATAGTGCTACACTACCTCCCTAGGTTGCATATCACTATAAAGACTGTCAATTCAAAGCATACTGAGCAGGCAATTGCAAGGAAACACGTACTTGGAGCCCTCAAATTTTAAAAATTTGGACAGTGGACTAGGCTCCAAGCACACAAACAGATCTAATGCAGTCAAAAGATAAACATCCCCCCACACTTAAGCTCGACATTGCCCTCAATGGAGAAGAGGGAAGGATAAGGGAACGATGTTACCGGTATGCACGGACTGCAGGGGACTGGAAACGGGCCAGTCGGAGCAAGCACAGCCAAAGGGGAACAGAAGAGCTCAAGCACAGTATGTTAGGTTCAATGGTCAGCCCAATAAAATATCATCCAAACCAAAAGAAAAACAAACCAAACCCAAACCGGGTTACAATCCGACGCAAAACACAAGAAAGAAAATCAAACCGAGGTGGGGTTGCCTCCCCACAAGCGCTTCTTTACCGTCGTATTAGCTGGACGCCCATGGTGGATACTCAGGGCGGTGCAGGAACAGGTGCCTCCAAGAGCGGATCCACGTCGCTCTTGAGGTACAGCTTCAGGTTGTGGCCATGCACCCGACGGATGCGACCACCATCATCAGTCAGCTCGACCTGCCCATCTGGCAAGATGCAGGTGAGCGAGTACCCGGACGGCCAGGGTGGTCGTGGTGCAGGAGGTGGGACCAGCTCATAGTGGTCTCCACTCTTCTTCCGTGCAGGCTTAGCAACCTGCTGCTTCGGCCGCCACTCCTCCTTGAGCTTTTTGTTCGGAGGTGAGGCTGGATGGAGTGGCGGCGGAGGAATAATAGGAGGGTCCTGCAAAATAGGAGGTGCAGAAGGATACACGACAGGCTCGTGTACCTGATCAGACATAGCATGCACAGGCGTGACATCAATCATAGCACAGTGATCAAACTCAGTCACAGAAAAAGTAGCCTGTTCATTCCCAGCACGCAAGATCAACTTACCATCATGCACATCAATTAGTGCCTTGGCGGTGGCAAGAAATGGCCTACCTAGAATCAAAGGCACATCCACATCCTCATGCACATCAAGAATAATAAAATCAACAGGATATGTGAATGTACCTACTTTAACAAGCAGATCCTCAATGATACCCTTAGGATGCACGATAGAACGATCAGCTAATTGAATGCTCATCCTAGTAGGGCTAAGTTCACCTAGGTCTAGCATTTTATACAACTTATATGGCATGACGTTAATGCTAGCGCCTAGGTCCGCCAAGGACTTTCCTACATGCATACTGCCAATAGTAAGAGGGATAGTAAAACTCCCTGGATCCTTGCGCTTCTCGGGCAGCTTGTTCTGCAGGATAGCAGAACACTCCTCACTGAGCATCACTGTCGAGAGATCCCCAAGTTTCTTCTTGTTGGTGCAGATATCTTTCATGAACTTGGCATACTTGGGCATCTTCGACAGTGCCTCCATGAACGGTATGCTGATGTTGAGCTGCTTCAACATTGCCATGAACTTGGCAAACTCAGTCTCCAGCTTGTCCTTGTGTAGGCGAGTGGGGAAGGGAAGCTGGGGTACATGCTCCTTAACCACTGGTTGTGGCTTGGGAGCAGGGGCTTCCTTCTCCACCCGCACTTCTGCATCGTCGGCTGGAAGTGCTGAAGCAGGTAGTGGTTCCTCCTGTCTGGCCGGGGCAGGATCAGCAGATATCACCTTACCGCTCCTGGTAAAAATGGCATCCAGCTGCTGATGCTGGTGAGGATCTCGAGGATTAGGAACAGTGGTGGCAGGCAGAGTCCCCGGTGCCCTGGTGGTGCTCTGGCGGGCCAAGATGCCCACCTGGGTCTGCAGATCCTGCAAAATGGCACCCTGGTTCCGCTGACCTGCCTCCAGTGATGTGATAGCAGCCTGGGTGCTAGTCATGAATGAAGCTAGAATGTTTTCCAGCTTCGTCATCCTATCATCTGGGGCCGGAGCTGCTGCTGGCTCGGCAAACTGGCGCTGGGGCTGCTGGAATGGCTGCTGTGGAACTAGCCCCTGTCGAGTCTGGTAGGGCTGCCTCTGCTGAAAACCACCTGCTGGTGCTGGGAAACCAGGTGGTTTAGTGGTGTTGCTGCTCCAGGCAAAGTTGGGATGCTGGCGCCACCCCTCATTATATGTGCTACTGTATGGATCAAGGCGCCTCGCATTGGCGATGAAGGCCAACTGCTCCTGGGGTGTGGTAGACTCCCTCATAGCCTGGCAGTCCTCCACTAGGTGATTGGAGCTCTCACACCACTGACACTGAGCAACTGGAGGTGTAGCCAAACCTCTGCCCGGAATCAGACTGTTAGGCTGCTTCAATGTCTGCACTAGCTCAGCTACCTGCTGCTCGAGCCCGGATCTGGTCTCCATGGCGTGCACACCACGGTCCCGGGACTGTCTGCCTCGGCTACCCTGTCCCCAAGAATGATCTCTGGCAGCCAAAGTACTGATCATCTGGTTCAGCTCGGGTGGAGTCTTGGTAAGAATATCCCCTCCTGGGCATAAAGACTCAATCACCCTCTGGCTATCTGGGGAGAGAGCGCTGTAGAAGTTCCCCACAGTGAAAGCATCACTAAAGCCATGGTGGGGGCACTGCCAGAAGTAGCCCATGTACCGCTCCCAAGCATCACGGAGTGACTCATCTGGCTCCTGGCGGAAATGAGTGATCTCCCGCTGAATCTCTGTAGTCTTCGATGCCGGATAGTACCTGTGCACGAACTTGTCAGCCAGATCGTCCCAAGAGGTGATGGACAATGGGGGCTGGGTCTCCAACCACCTCTTAGCATTCCCCGCCAGAGAATGGGGGAAGAGATGAAGGCGGATCGCATCATCCGGGACACCGTTCAGCTTGAACCCGTTTGTCAGCTGCAGAAAACGGGAAAGATGCACCCTGGCCTCCTCATTCTTCAAGCCATGGAACTGGATAGAAGATGTGATGAGCTGAATCCAGCATGGCTTGATCTCAAAGTTGTTTGCTGGGATCGGCGGGTAGAGGATGACCGGGCGGATGTCAGCAATCCGCGGAGTGTAGTAGTACTCCAGGGTGGGACCCGGCTGCGGTGGATGATGAGCTCCATGATCCTGGGGTATGGGGTTGTTCCCCAGGACCTGATTCACCGGGGGATTCCCCTGGTGCTGATTGTAGTCTCCGTCCATTCCGTGCTCTTCTTCAGAATCGCTGCTCAGGTGGCCGTCTATGCGCTCTTCCGTAGCCAGTCTAGCTCGCTGTTGTCTCCTGAGCTGGTGACAGGTGCGGTCAATCTCTGGATTCAACGGCAGTAAACCTCCCGACTGGCTACGGGTCATGCACTACCTGCACACACTCAAGCAACAAACCCGTGAAGGCACAAGTGGGACAAAGAAAACAAAGCAAAAAGAAAAGCTAAATTAACAGAAATCACTTTTCTTCAACAACCTAGCCGTCCCCGGCAACGGCGCCAAAAACTTGACTCGCCTCTACTGTCACCCCAGGAATTGGCCAAGTGTAACCACTTCCTAAAGCGTAGTATAGCGGGTTTAGGTTTAATTATCAACCCGGGTCCTAGATTTGCTGACTACTCAGTGAGTTCTTGTTATCTAGCAATAAAACTGGAGTGCAAGTCTAAACTACCAAACAAACAAAGCAAGTAAACTGGTTGTATTCAGGTTAAGAGAGGTCACCCGGATATGGTTCCCCCTAGACTGTAGTTAAGCCGGATTGTAATTACCAAGTTCAGTTTCTATGACAGTTATACTGCGGAAGGTTCTTAAACAGTCTGAAGTCTCGACTAAAGGTCTTCAGACCCTCTCAATCTGACTCTCTAGCGGGCGACTAACCTCCACCGGAGTCGACAGATTGAGGCCCTAAGAACAAAACCTCCACTACCGGAGTAAATCCGGTACAGAATAGTGAGTTGGCTCCTCGACTAAAGTCACCAACTCCCTACCTTCAATCAAGGATACTCTATTAACCTAGGCAGATATTCTCATTCTAGGTTAAAGCAGAAACAACAGGAATTTGATCAGGATTCAAGTCATTCAATCATTAAAACCTCAATCGAATATAATCAATCACAGAATCAGTACTTGGGTTCATACAATCAAAGCCTAACATACAAATCTAGGGTTCTCCATACCCAGATGAATGGGAGAACTACTCCATGGAGAAGAAAGCAAAAGCAGAATCAGACACGGAATTCATACTGCAAAGGATGGATTCCTGCTTCTGGACGTTGATTGGCACTTCTCCAAGCTCAAGCTGGCCTCCAATGGTGTTGAAGATCAATCTAGGGCACTTGGGAACTCTTGCTCGTCACTTTCTCTCTCTAGGAACTGATCTCTCTCTCAAAAACTCGAATCCCCCCGAATTGTGGCTGAAATTCTGCTTAAAAGGAGAAAATCCCGACTCGCACGGCCAGGGTGCACGGCCGTGCACATCACCATTCTGGCCGTGCACCTCAAAACGCGGCGTATCAATTAGTTGAACCTCAGCCAACTCGCACGGCCAGAATTGTATGTTGCACGGCCGTGCGTGGCCACGCACAATCCCGTGCGTGCCCACGCACAATCCCGCACGGCCAAACTGGTCACTTGCACGGCCGTGCGTGGCCACGCTGGTCTGCCCGTGCAGCTTGCTCAGCCTCTGTTTAATGCTTCGTTTCTCCCTCGTCCGGACTCCGAATCAATCGCCGTTTGATCCCAGAAGCTCGTAGTCTCGTCCTCTTTCGTTTCATAACAAGCTTGCATGATTCTTTGTCCATAAAGTGAGGTAGAAATCCATTCTTCTTCAGGTCATGCCCGAGTTTCTTCTCTCGAATCGTCAATTGATCTCTGATTGACTTGAAACTTGCGCCTATGCTTCACTTTATGTGCTAGGACCTGAAATGGGACAAAGGAACACAACCTAGCATAAAATAGGCCAAAGACGCAATAATTCAAGCTCAAACAATCAAGAAACAAAGGGGAAAACATGTGCAAATACCGAGTCATCACTCGTCCACCATAGGATCCTATTCATACATCTAACCTCAATTTTCTTGATGGCGCATACCCATCTAACCTTAAAACTTCATACCCAACGTAGAAGCTCAAGTAGGCTAGTAGAGAAGATTATGACGACTTACCCAAGCATAATCAAAGCTAGAGAAACAATGAAATCAACTAGATAAACACATTCATTCATTAAAACACTAAAATATCCATTCATTACATAGTAATCCTAGAACTAGGGTTGGGGGATATAACCACTAGTACCTTAGATGACTACTTCATAAAGCAGGGAAGAAGATACATAGAAGAAATTGGGGGAGAATTGGTGTTGACTATTGAGGAAAGTGGCTCTTATCTTCTAGCTCCTCCTTCTCTATCTTCTTTCTCTTTCTCTAACCATAATTCTATTACAAAATTAGCTCTCTTCAATGGGGGAAGGGGGTCTCTATTTATACCCTTTAGAGGACGGAGAAGTTCGCGGCCAGGAAGTATGAAGTTCGCGATCGTGATCTTTCTCCTTGAGGCCGTGATCTGCCGACGCTCCCGTTTTGGCCTTTAGGCGCGAGGGGTTCGGGGGCTGACTTCATGGTTGCGATCCGTGAGGCGCGTCCGCGATCTTCCTTGCAGTTAATGTAAACTGTGGTCGTGATCGTACTGAGGAAACACTCCATTTCTCCCACTAGCTTCTTCACGAAGTTCGTGCCCTCAGCCTCCAAGATCGCGGCTGTGATCTTAGACTTTCCGACCACCGTCTTTGCCTTAAGTTCGCCGTCTTTGTTCTCGACCGCGATCTCCATCTCTAGGCCGTGATCATCAGCCTTCTGCCCCTTTTGCTACACTTGTGTCCGTTTTTGTACCTAATTCGCATGTATTTGCTAAATCATCCTAAAATCACATCATAATCAAATAGAAATGAAATAGGGATGCAATTGACACTATTCAAATGATTATGCACATGAATTAGCACGAAATAAACCTAAATAGGAAGGGTAAATAACAACAATTTAGGTGTTATCAAAGTCCTCCACACTTAGGCGTTTGCTTGTCCCCAAGCAAACCTACTCAAACCAATGCAACTTGATAAACAAATCAAGATGGGACACACTCTAGTTCTTCATTGCATAATGAAGAGTAGATGGAGACAAGAAAACGTTACTATTATCTTACTATTCACACACAAACTCTTGGGTGAGGACCATACTTGCTACCTTAGGCCGAACATTCAAGGTGTGCACTGGGGGACCTCTCAATCATCAACTAAGAACAAGAACTCTTGAGGGTGATCATTATTCTTTATTTCGATTTAGGAGTTGTCATTTATTGGTATTCTTTTTCTATGTTGACACGCATTGCACCAATCTTTTGCAAGTTTTCTTGCAATCAAGCATCTCTCCCTCACTACCTAGAGAGGATGGATCATTACCTTTCCTTTCAAGGTCACATGAGGGGAATTTGATGTGCGGATTCGTTTTAGCCCGAGCACCACTTCCCAGCCTGCACTCCACATTGGGTTGACACACATGTTGGGTACAAACGAGAGCTTTGAGGTCTCATGAATCGCTAAAAAGTACTTTGTACCTTGTCTTATGATTCCGTAAAGAGGAAAGATGTTTGGGGGATGGTAAGTAGTAAGAGATGGTCGGGACGCAGCGAAGCTATACGATCCCCAAACATATCCTGAAAGGGCACTCCAAACCTTGAGGGTCGGTTGCCTCTCACGTGAGAACCTCTTTTCAAACGATTTTGAGTTACAAAAATGATAGAGAATCCGCACTCATGATCTTCCTAAAATAGCAGACATTTTCAATTCACCAAAGAGGAAGAAGTGAGTAAAAATCCTCTTACATCGGTACTCTAATCATGCAACTACTCCCTAGCGAGCACAACACATCAATCATATATCAATTCAAAGCATATCGAGTAGGGAATTGCACGGAACAAAGTGTTTTGGAACCCTCAAATTTGAAATTTTTTGGGTAATGCATTCAAGGTTTCGAAACACTATCATTTGGTCAACCAACACCACAAACACACACACAATCGCTAGCATACACTCCCATAAGCATTCATCAATGTCTTACATTCATAAACAAGGGAGGATACAACCAATCCATGGCCCAATCAATCATGAAAATCATTTAAGCATTCGCACACATCCCCCCACACTTGAGCAACACATTGTTCTTAATGTGGGGGTTTCAAAAGAGAAGATCATGAAGATTACCATAAGTTGGGTTGTGGGTTGGTGAAGGTACACAAGTGTAGGTCTTCGTCTTCTTGGTGGTTTTCACAATGATAAAGCACATAAGGAAGAGAGAAAGACAATTAAGAGTTATAGGTACGATAATTAGATAATATAAGTACGATTGCTACTAATACTAGAATATTTAAAGTACGAAAAGTAAAATGAAAGTAAATCAATAATCAAACATTGTTTAAAATTAAAAGAGAAAAGCAAATAAAAAGAAAAGATAGAACTTAGGTCCTGGATGCCTAGTACTCAATCCTCCTCGGAGATGTCATCGAGGTGGCCTTCATCCACTAATACAAGCTGGTCGCCATCCGATGAGGATGAAAGAGGGAACATTTGCTCTATCTCACCTCGGTCCATATGCATTTTCTCATTATCAAGTGGACCGCCCCTAAGAGGTGGCGTCTAGACTTCCTCTCACACCTCATAAGGAACCGAATCTCCCCTTGATCCTCAATAAGCCTGGAGTTCTGCTCAATTAGCTTGGCATTCAGTTGAATAAGAGTAGCTATCTGAGATGCTTGGATTATAGATGATGACGTCCCTGTTTCTGCGAGGGAAACTGGCCAGGCGCTTCAAGTGGACGTCTGAGTGGTTGGGGATCTATTCCCTTAATGGTCTTTCTTCCTTTAGTCACCTCTAGAAGTTTCATCTTGGATAAGTGATCATCGGTGAATACTTAAGTGGAGCAGATGATTATACGGTTGCATTCCCCCAGGTTTATCCCAAAATATCTTGCAAGACGAGTGACAAATGCTCACCCATGGATAGTCTTGACTGACATATTCGTGATGTTCTTGTAGAGAGTCTTGAGGATGACCAATACAAGGTTCAAATGAGGCTTAACAAATATTGTCTTAGAAGATTTAGATCTATCTTTTCCAGGTTTCTAGCACACTTTTCTTTGGGGTCAACCGTGTAAAAGATGATGTAGTGAAGAATGCGCCATTCAGCTTTCAAGGTGGTTCTCTTGGTGGATTTCGCGTCGAAGGGTGCTTGATGATCCGGGCTTCTGAGATGGTTTTTGAAGAATCTTTCGGACGATGACAGGTAGCCTTCTTGAGAAAGGATAATTCTTGGAGGATAGATAGACATAGCCTCGGTGAACTCGTTGAAGCTCATCTCCCTTGGTTTGCATCCTAGTGAAAATAAGTAAAACGCGGAAGGAAAAGACACACGATTTACATGGTATCCCTGTTCAATTAAACTGCCCTAATCCACGGAGAGCAGAGCTCTCGATTGATGTTCACTAGGCTACAACAAAAGTGGTTTCGCCATTCAAGAAAATTACAAGGCATTCGGTTGGAGCCAAATATAAATACCCTAATACAGTAACTAGGGTAACTCTAGCCGAGACGGCTAATTAGAAAATAGCACAGTAATTAATCAAACTAGATTAATTACTCATCTCAGTACTCCCCCTCAAGCTGCAACATGAAGGTCTCGAATACCAAGTTTGGACAAGAGGAAATGGAACCGCTCCGTGCCTAAGGCTTTGGCGAGGATATCTGCTAGTTGTGAAGATGTAGCAATCTTGCGGGGTTCCTGACACAACACGTTCCCAAACAAAGTAGCAGTCCATCTTCATATGCTTAGTCCATTCATGAAAAACTGGATTCACAACAACATGGAGAGCCGCCTGCTTGTCAGTGAAGGGGCGTAGATGCCATCTGCGGAGCACCTAACTCAGTCAAAAATTGTCGCAACCAGATGACCTCACTAATTGTGTTGGCCATGGCACGATATTCCGCCTCTATAGAAGAGCGGCCAACTACGCGTTGCTTCTTCGTGCGCCAAGAAATAGGTGCAGAACCTAGCTAAATGTAGTAGTCGTGTTAGAGCAACGCGTAGACTAACAACCTGCCCATTTAAAATCACAATAACCCATTAGTTCAAGAGTCCCAGAAGAAGGCAAGAACAAACCTTGACTAGGAGCAATCTTCAAGTAACGGAGTACACGTGTGGCAGCAGCAACATGATCTAAGCTAGGGGCATGAACATGCTGGCTGAGCACATTAACAACGTATGCAATGTCTGGCCGCGTGACAGTTAAGTATAACAGTCGCCCGATCAGTCGACGATAAGCACTAATATCGGCGACCACATCCTTGGTCAGCCGAGTAAGCGAATGATTCTGCTCCATGGGGAAACCACTATGATGCGCACCAGCAACACTAGCATCCTTCAAGATGTCAAGGGTATACTTGCGGTGGCTAAGAACAACTCAATCAAGAGAACGAGCAACCTCGATGCCCAGGAAGTACTTCAAGGGTCCAAGATCCTTGATGCCGAAGCGAGAATCTAAGAAGGCCTTGACACGAGAGATAAAAACTAGGTCATTACCAGTAAGAACAAAATTGTTCACATAGATAAGAGCTGCCACAAAGGCCTCTCCCTTACGATACAAGAAAAGAGAGTGATCGGCATGAGAGTCAGCGAAACCGAGTACTGTAAGTGCCAAAGTGAACTTCTGGTACCAATTCCGGGAAGCCTGTCACAACCCATATAGTGATTTGCGCAAAAGGCATACCGTGTATCGCCCTCGTGCTGAAAACCAAAAGGAACCTTCATATATACTTCTTCCTGTAGATCACCATGAAGGAAGACATTGTTGACATCGAGTTGATTCCTAACCACGCTGCAAGACTAGAGCGATGAAGATGCGAACAGTCACAAACTTGGCCTTATAACCTTCAAAAATGACATTGGGGTGATACTTGATTTTGTATGCCCATTTCATGTCAATAGCTCTTCTGCCAGGAGGAAGGTACTCCAATGTCTAAGTGCCATTAGCTTCCAAGGTCAAGACCTCTTTCTGCATGGCCTCACGCCAATATGCATAAACAATAACATCACGGAAATGGCGTGGCCCGTCAAGCTTGGAAATAGCTAAGGTAGGCCTTGTGAGCTGGGGTAAAACGATCATAGGTCACGTAATTTTCAAGATGATAGGTGGCGGCAACATGCGAGTTACTACCCGAAAGCTCCATGTCATAAATATTCAGCTTCGCATGCGAGTTACTACCCGGAAGCATCGACTTCATCTGGCATAGTGGATGGATGCTCCTGGGCGATGTCCTCATGCAGCGATGGGGTCGGGTCATCGTCGAGATCTAGGTCATCAGAACGCGTCACACGATCCATGACAAGTGGATCAAGAAGTTGCTCCGCATCAATGAAAGCTGGAGCAGAGGATGTAGATTCGTTTGATGGCGACGTGACCACGCCTAGAGATGGTCGAAACGGAAAATCGCTCTCCACAAAGAAGACATCTCGTGAAGTATAAATGCGGCGAGATTCCATGTCATATACCCGAAACCCTTTTGAGCAAGAGGATATCCCACAAACACACATTGACGCCCAAGATTATCAAATTTGTCAAGTCCATGCTGCGTGTCCTTTGCATAAACCAAGCATCCAAAAGTAGGAATGTAATCATAAGAAGGAGCACGGCCAAGGAGAGCCTCGAAGGGTGAAAACACAAGGCTCGAGCTGTCTCCAAAAGATGACAGTGCTTGCGTTTTGCGACACCGTTTTGCTACGGAATGTTAACACACGAAGTCTGAAGTAAAATCCCATGATCAACATAGTAGTCTCGGAGAGAATTTGTTTGAAATTCCAGACCATTATTTGACTGTATCCTGCAAACCTGTGTCTGAACTGTGTGTGAACTATCTCATAGAACATACGAATATGCTTCTCTACATACGATTTATACTTCAAAACATAAACCCAATTGGTACGACTATAGTCATCCACCACTATCAAGAAGTAATTTGAGCCATCCATAGAAGGAGTTTTGTAACCACCCCAAAGATCTACATGAATTAACTCAAAACAACCAGACGTTTTATAAGAACTATACTGAAAAGGTGTACAAGTCTGTTTGGCCCGCAAACAAGAGTCACAATGCGACTTAACCATCTGTGTTCTTGAAAACTAAGAAAATCCTTCAAAATAGACATTTTCTCAACATAAGGATGGCCCAAACGATGATGCCATAGAGCCTGACTCACCTTCTACGCAGCTGCCATTGCAAGTGAACATCCAGCCTTCCTTTGCAACCTCTCATCGCGTGATAGGTAGACTAAACCATCACGGAGGCGGCCCAATCCAATAACGGTCTTGGAGCGTAAGTCCTGAAGTATGCATACATTACCCAAGAATTGCAAAGCTACATCAGCCTCTCTGATTAGCCGACTTACAGACAATAAGTTGCACTTTAATTGAGGAACATGGAGAACATGATGCAAGGTGAGCTGCTAATTTAGTACCACTAAACCAACACCCTCTACTGGAATATACTTGCCATTAGGAATGCGAACCAGTGAGTGGATCATGTGAATAATTATATTTATCAAACCAAGTTACGTCACTGACAATATGCTCGTTACAACTATAATCAATGAGCCATTCACTAAAGTCGATAGTATTACCGCCCATGTGTGCAGTCAAATCAGGAGTAAAAGGTGCAGGTACTGAGAGGAATTGTTTCATTTGGGCGAACTGCGACGCTGTGAGTCCAGATATGTGGCTTTCTTTAGCATCGCGGTGGGCTGCTCGAGTGCCATTTTCGCCCTTCTTCTTCTTACAACCAGTGGCTCGGTTTTCCCCAAAATTTCATGGATAACCAATGAGCCTGAAGCATTATTCCCTTAGGTGGTCGAGTTTGTTGCAATTGGTGCAACGAACGCGCTTCTCACCCTCACGATCCTTTTTGTTTCTCGCCTGGTAAGCTGCGGCTTCGACAACGGGACGACAACCAGCCGTAGTAATCCATTGTTGTTCGTCCGCCGCTACCTACAGATAAGCCTCCGCCAACATCAGAGTAGGCCGAATACTCAGTATCTGAGTTCGAACAATAGAGAAGCCATCGTCCAGGCCTACGAGAAAATCATTCAGACGCTTGGCTTCTTGCTTTTCTCGCATCTGCTTGGCCACATCACAACTGCAATTTCCACAGCTACAACATGAGTTGATACTTACTGACTGCATCTTGTCCCACAAACTTTTAAGCTACGTGTAGAATGAAGAAACTGAGGATTTTTCTTGCAGAAGTGAAACAATTTGACCTCTGAGTTCATAAGCTCTCATTGCCGAGCTTGCACCAAAGCGTGCGTTAGGTTTGTCCAGATTTCGTGCACTGTTTTGGCCACGCGAACACTATTTCGAACTTCTTTAGTCATAGTCGTCTTCAACCACCCTTTCCCATCACATCACATTGATCCCAATCATCCTCTTTAGCTATGGTGTCTGCAGCTGATCGCGGTAGCGTACCATCAAAGCAATTCATCCTTTTCTTCGCGATGAGAGTTTCCATCATATCAGTGGCCCATTCACCATAATTCAAGTATGAAAGAAGATCACTACCAAATAGTTGTCCAAGGTTTTTCGACGGATGTAGATAAAATGGAGAATTGTGTGGTATAGAATCGAGATCGAGACGAACTTCTTGCCGTCTGAAGTTTCTTTGTCTTTCGCATGATTGCAGTACAGGATCACTGCTATGATACCATGAAAATAAGTAAAACGCGGAAGGAAAATACACACGATTTACGTGGTATCCCTGTTCAATTGAACAAGACT